TGGCGCGGCCCCTCGTCCCCAGCTCGCAGAAGGCGCTGCTGCTGGAGCTGAAAGGGCTGCAGGAGGAGCCCGTGGAAGGGTTCCGGGTCAACCTGGTGGATGAGGGGGACCTCTACAACTGGGAGGTGGCCATCTTCGGCCCCCCAAACACCTACTACGAGGGCGGGTACTTTAAGGTGAGGGGCTGGGTGCAGCAGGGAGGTGTGCGGTGTCGGGATGACCGACGTCTGGAGGAGAAGAAGCTCTGGAGGTTTAGGGGGGAGGCTGGGGCCGGAGATCTGGGGTAGGCGATGGGAGAGTGGGCGGTGTTGTAGGACGTGGTGGGGGGATGAGTGGGGAAGGGATTTGGGGATGGCGAGAGGTGTCAGGAGAGTGGGGAGACCCTGTGAGGTGGCTGTGGGATGAGAGGGAGGGGTCCTGAGGGTTGGATTGAGGCGGGTCCTGGGGGGCCATGACACGGCGCTCCCAGGCTTGAAGGGGTTGCCAAGGGTTGGGGAGACCTGGACACCTTGGGGTCACTGGGGCTTTGGGAGCTGGGGTGTGTTGGGGTGCTGCGAAGAGGGGCAGGGGTAAGAAGGGAGCCTGTGAGCAGGTGGCTGCTGCCAGACCGAGCAAGGATCGTCTTCACTGAGTGCGGATTTGCCCACCCCGGGGCTCTGCCTCTGAGGGCTTTTCCTCCTTCCTGCCCCCGCCCTCCTCCTGGTCTGTGGGCGGAGGAGAGTGAGCTCGGGGTGGCTGGTGTACCTTCTCCTGGAGGGGATCAGGCCATCACCACCAAACCAGAGGAAAGAGACAAAGGAGGCTGCTGGCAGGCACAGACAGCTGGGGCTCGGGCTGGGAGGGGAGGGGAAGCCGTGGGTTTGTTTGGGGTTGGACAGGGGGAGCAGGCAGGGGTGGCCCGGCTGCACAGTCCTGTCGAGGGGGCGGGTATGTGCTCTTCCCAGGTGTTGTGCAACCTGCCAGGCTGTTTTCTTCCTCTTTCTCTTCCTCCTGCCTCCGCCACGAGCTCTGCTGTCCTCATCTTGTTGCTATGGGGTGGGGATGCGGGGTGAGTCAGTCCCAGGGTCAGCTGTGGCTGCCATGCTGGGAGGTTGTTTTTCCCACGGAGCTGTGGCAGGCAAGTGCGATGCTTGAGAGCCAGGTTTTATCTCTTTACCGAGAGGAGCCTTTTTCCGAAGCCTCTTTTGGCACCAGGCCCTTTGAACTCTCACCCTTTCAGCAGCTCATGCTCCTGTTTTGTGTCCAAGAGCTTCCAGACTCAGCAGTAGGTGCAAGTTTCTGTGAGAGAAGGGAGGGAAGGGGCCGAGTCCTCTTGCAGCCCGTGGTAACATGAGCATGTTTGGGTAGGGAAATGCTCTTTCTGAGCCCCCTTCGGGAACGCTTTGCCTCTGGCAGGTTTTGTTCTCATCCCCTCTGCAACAACAAAGGGGATTGTTCTGCAGAGTTCAGCTGTTTGGCTGGAGCCCAGCACGGGGCTGTGTGCTGCCCTGGGCTGCCCCGGCCCCACCACACACTCTTCCAGCCCTGATACCATCTGCTCTCCCCTTTCCCCACCTTGTCCTGCACGGCAGAGCTCGGGGCCTCGGGAGCAGAGCCAGCCCGGGGGCCGGACGGGATCAGGCGCAGGGAGCAGGGATGTTCAAGCCTGGGCTGGAGCTGGGGCTGGTCGGAAGGAGGAGGGATGTGTCCCTGCCTCCTCTGCTGATCTTTTAACGGCTGTTGGCTGACGAGGGGGTTTGGCAGCATTGCCTATTGTCGAGGCTGTAATTCCAGAAGCATCTGAATCCTTGTTTGCTGTTACCCTCCTGAATGGGGCCTGTTCCGGGCTTGTTCTGTGGGTGAGGAGCGATCCTGGGTCACCACTGGGCACAGCTGGGGTGGTTGGCACCCTCACTTCAGGGATCCAACATCTAAATTCTCATGTACACAAACTGAGGGAGCAAGAAATATTCAGGCAGTTGTTGTGTGGTTTGAATCTTCACCATTTTGTTGGCTCTTTTGGGAGTCAGTAGCTGAATCTTGATCTGGAAGTTTGCCTGTAAACACCTGAAAGCTGGAGCAGCCACTGCAGGCTGAGGAGCTGCTGCCCCTCATTCCCATGGAACAGCTGGTGCTGCTGGGCTGGGGGCCTCTGGGGAGCACAGGGACATCACTTGGAGTCTCTCTGCCACCTTGGGCTTCACCTCCTGGCTTGGAGCCTGACAGCAAACCTGTCCTTTTGGCTGCCTGAATCCCTCAGTTTTTGTGGCCTTTCCCTGCAGGAGGAGCCAGCGGGGGGGCGGCTGTCCCTGCTGGAGCCGCGGGCTGAGGAGGGATCTTCATGTGCTTTTATTTTTAGCACCTGAGCTCCGTGCTGCGGCCGGTTTTGACTCGGTCTCTTTTCTCAGGGGGGACGGGCTATTTTTAGAGACTCGTTGTGTTAATCAGAGCACTGAGTACCTGGTGCTTCCTTCCCTGTGAGCTCTGAAGGGTAAACAGTCTCTCCTCAGATGGTGTGGCCCTCAGGTGTCACCTTCCTCTGCGCAGTGGCAGAGCCTGCGGAGCTCAGCTGGCCTTGGCCCAGGTTCCTTTTCCATGGTGGTGTCAAGAGGTCTGTGCCTTCCTTCCCTTCCCTCTCACAAACCCATGCTCACTTCTCCTCATTGTTCCCTTCAGGCTCGTCTCCGGTTTCCCATCGACTACCCCTATTCTCCGCCTGCCTTTAGGTTCTTGACCAAAATGTGGCACCCCAACATCTACGAGGTAGGTCTGGGACAGTGTGGGGTGCCTGGAACTGGCCAGGGAGACGTGTCCATCTGCTGTGACAGTGCTGGAGGAGAGTGCCAGCTTTTGTCACGAGCACTGGAAACTCTGTGCCTCTGGTGTGCGGTGCCTGGCACTGGAAATGCAGCTAACGAGCTTGTGACAGCCAGTCTCCAGTCCTGGAGCTGGTTCCAGGCCAGCCAAGCTCCAGGGCTCCCACGCTTGGGCACAGGGTGAGCGACGTGCAGGGCCCTGGGGCTGCCAGGGTGGACAGTCCAGCAGCCTCCTCTGCGTGGTGCTTATCCAAGGCCTGAGGCTGCGGGAACCACGGCTTCTGCTGCCCCTTCCCAGGGGCTCAGGCTGGGGTCGCCTCCCCTGGCTTGAACCCAAGTGCAGAGCGAGGAGGGTAGAGGAGCAAAGGCTGGAGGAGTTGCTGGAGGAGGCTGGGGCTGCAGCTCCTCAGGGCCCTGTTCCCCGTGTGCTTTCAGACTGGCGATGTCTGCATCTCCATCCTGCACCCACCCGTGGACGACCCGCAGAGTGGGGAGCTGCCCTCGGAGCGCTGGAACCCCACCCAGAACGTGCGGTAAGGGCTGGGGGAGGGGCCCGTCTGAGGGCAAGGGTGGGACCGGGATATGTAGGGACTGCCTTCCACCCCCAAGTCCTGCGGGGGATGCCTGGAGGGTGTTGAAATGCTCTCAGGCTGCACGCTTTGCTGGAGAACAGCCAGAGCTTGCGTGGGAGCGTGGGTGGCTGAGCCCCACAGCCCGGGGGCTGCTGCCTGGGCTGCTGCTGGTGGGACTGCTCCAGGCCCTCCCAGCCCAGGGAACATGGAGGCTGCATCGCTGGGACTGAGCAGCTGCTGACCTGCTCGTGTTTCCTGGTTGCCAGGACCATCCTCCTGAGCGTCATCTCGCTGCTGAACGAACCCAACACGTTTTCTCCAGCCAACGTGGACGCCTCGGTGATGTACCGCAAGTGGAAGGAGAGCAAAGGGAAGGACCGGGAGTACACGGACATCATCAGGTGTGTGCAGGGCCCAGCCCGGGCCTGGCAGCAGGGACACGTGCTGAGCTGTGACCTTGCAGGACACAGGGTCTCCAGGGCATGTCCTGCTCTGCTGAGTCCTGTCTGTGGGCTGGCAGGAGGGAAGGACCCTGGGATACCTGCCTGGCTTTGCTCCCAACCTCAGCCCTGGGCCTTTTCAGCTCCAGAGCCAAGGATCTGGGTCTGCAGCAGATGTGGTGCCAGCCCAGCCTTGCTGTGCAGGGCTGTCTCATCCCTCGGGGAGGGAGGTGCTCTGCAAAGCTCCACTCTCACCCCCATGTCTTGCCTTCCAGGAAGCAAGTCTTGGGCACGAAGGTGGATGCGGAGCGGGATGGTGTGAAGGTCCCCACCACACTGGCCGAGTACTGCGTGAAGACCAAGACCCCAGCCCCAGATGAGGGCTCCGACCTCTTCTATGATGACTATTATGAGGATGATGAGATGGAGGAGGAAGCAGACAGCTGCTATGGTGATGAGGATGACTCTGGCAATGAGGAATCTTGATGGCCCTCTGGCATCGCAAAACTTGCTGTAAACTACTGAATTTTACCTCAACTAGGACACACTGGTTTGAATTTAGGATCTTTCAGCCCTGAAATTAACTCTCTACCTCGCAGGGAGACTGTTCTGCTGTTGCAAAGGAAACCCCACCGCTGTCTTTGTAGAAAAAGCAAAAAAAAAGCAAAACCCCTATTTTATAAACTTCCTGGGTGGGGGGTGGGTGGGGAGGGGGAAGAAATGTCACTGGTTTGAATTTAGGATCTTTCAGCCCTGAAATTAACTCTCTACCTCGCAGGGAGACTGTTCTGCTGTTGCAAAGGAAACCCCACCGCTGTCTTTGTAGAAAAAGCAAAAAAAAAGCAAAACCCCTATTTTATAAACTTCCTGGGTGGGGGGTGGGTGGGGAGGGGGAAGTTATGTTGGGGCATCCATGAATCCACAGAAACTGTGGAGCTGGTGGCTCTCGCTGCG